AGGTAGGGTGCTGCATTCTTGGTGATGTAGCGTTGCCCCTTGGGACTTGATTTCGTAGCAAAGTAAAATTGTAAGAGGTCAAACCTGGAGTTCATTAATGGTTTATTATTGTCAGACTAATCTGAGTCCTACCAAAAACTAGTTTTTACAAATTGCCTTAAAAAGTGGTTTTTCTTTACCATTGTGGCATATTTGACCTTTATTGTGTAGTATGTCCTGTAGACTGCCCTATAATATAAAAAAAATCTTCTCCCCTGCCTTGTGTGTGTACTTTTTTTTTTCTTTAACTCTTTTTCCTTCTCTGTGGAAAGTAGAAGGTGACCTGAAGCCTGGTACCTTATTTATTGGGGGGGGGGAAGGCAAAAAATGGCTTTATGTTTGTATGTGTGATCACCTGTTGTATTCTGAACTAATGTTGCACAAGCATTCTTGCAGCAACTGAGACTAAACTGCATTCCACAGAGATGCTATGGTTGCCTTGCACTTTCTTAATCGTTTGCTGTCTCAGGTTTTAAATATCTAGAGATTGGGAATGCATGCAAGCAGGGCTTGGCCAAGGGTGAATTACATAATGCTGGTTGCTGTTCCAGGCCGGACCGGTGCAGTACTGCAGACTGGCCCTTCTGTGTGAGAGAGAGCAAGAGTTGTAATGCTAAGCTGTTGAAAAGACAGTCAGGCTCTTTCCTCTCGCTTTTTCATGCTGTTTAAAAACCTACTGGTGGCAGCATATTCCATGTTGCTGCTGAAGGTCCTGCTAAAACAAAACTAACTTTTGAATCCTTGTGTGTGCTTGATACAGAACAATCTTGTGTGTTTCTATACTGCCTGGTCAGCCTGTTCTCAACTTGAAACCTAATATATGGCTGTCGTTCATTCCTCACCAGGAAATACTCTTATCAAACATAACTTGATTTCTGAAAGGAGGAGGAGGCCTGTAGGGAGTACTGGGGCTGACACTGTAATGTTGTTTTACTTCATGCCTCCCTGCCCTGAAGCACCGTGCTACATGATAAATCTAACATGAAAAAGTGATATATAGCCTGATCTACTAATCAGCCATTAGTGTGGGTTAGCAAGGAGCAACTTTCATATGGGGCCAGTTTGAAGCTACTTTTGTGGTCTTTACCTTCAGGCATGTAGTTATAGCAGTTTAAAACAAAACAAACCTCCAAAACCCCAAATATGTGATCTGAAATAGAACAGCTGGTGCAAGTCTAGAGACAGTGTGTTGTGCTGGGGTGTAAATATGGTGGCTTCTACACCTGCCTGCCCAAGGCATGTTGCTGACATCCTTTCTCTCAAGATATATATTTGTGAAAATAGGTGTGAAAGGGAAGGATGATATGACTATTCTTAAAATGCATATAGCACTAAACTTAAAGTACTTGGCAGTTGCTCCCCAACTGTCCGAAGCACTATATTCTTTTTGAGTGTTTAAACTAAGGAAAAGTTACAACCTCTGCTAATTAGTAGAGCTGACACATTCTAATTGGCAATGCTGACAGAGATGAATTTCGGCTGGCCTGCTTGACTTTCAGTACACCTGGTGTATATCACTTGTCCTGTGTCATGTTTCAGTAGACTGTAGCTGCTTCTGCTGAAGAAAAGCCAATTTGCTTCTCAGTACTGTATGCTGTTGTAGAATAAACATGTATGTTACTCATGAGGTCTTATTGGAGACAAGTCAAACAATACTTCTTACCAATATATAGCAGGTAGAAGATGTGAACAAAAAGAACCAGTCTGACTGTTTTCACTGACATAAGTCAATCTCCCAGGGTTCCACTGTGGTGCTGCAGGAAAGGGAGAACAGGATAGTTTAGGGTCTGGTTCCACCTGGAAAAGTTGGAACACACCAGAATTCTTTTACATAATAAATTGTGAAATATGTGCACGGGCAGAGATTCAGACCCTGAAATCCCAGAACAAGACTTGACTGTCTGCATTGATTATGCTTAGCTTAAATGGTGACGGGTCATTTAAAAGGGCACAACATAGAATCATTTAGGTTGGAAAAGACCTTAAAGATCACAGAGTCCAACTGTTAACCTAACACTGCCAAGTCCACCACTGAACCACATCCCTAAGTGCCACACCTACATGCCTTCTAAATACCTCCAGCCTGTTCCAATGCTTGATAACCCTTTCAGTGAGGAAATTTTTCCTAATGTCTAACTTAAACCTGCCCTGGCTCAACTTCAGACCATTTCCCCTCATCCTATCACTTGTTACCTGGGAGAAGAGACTGACCCCCACCTCACTACACTGTCCTTTCAGGTAGTTGTAGAGGGTGATAAGGTCTCCCCTCAGCCTCATTTTCTCTAGGCTAAAGAACCCCAGTTGCCTCAGCCGTTCCTCATAAGACTTTGCTTCAGACCTCTCACCAGCTTTGTTGCTCTCCTCTGGACATGTTCCAGCACCTCAATGTCTTTCCTGTAGTGAGGGGCCCAAAACTGAACACAATATTTGAGATACAGCCTCACCAGTGCCAAGTATGCTTCCCTACTCCTGCTGGCCATGCTCTTCCTGATACAAGCCATGATGCCGTTGGCCTTCTTGGCCACCTGGGCACACTGCTGGCTCATGTTCAGCTGGCTGTTAACCAGTACCCCATGATCGCTATCCAGGCAGCTTTCCAGCCACTCACGCCCAAGCCTGTAGTGTTGCATGGGGTTGTTGTGACCCAAGTGCAGGATCCAGCACTTGGCCTTGTTAAACCTCACACAACTGGCCTTGGCCCATCAATCCAGCCTGCCCCAGTCCCTCTGCAGAGCCTTCCTACCCTCAAGCAGATCAACATTACCACCCTACTTGCTGTTGTCCACAAACTTACTGAGGGTGCACTCGATCCCCATCTCTAGATTACTGATAAAGAAGTTAAGCAGAACTGGCTCCAATACTGAGCCCTGTATACCAAATATATATATGCATATATAAAATGTGCGTATATATATTATAGTATATACAAATATACACATACCAAAAATAACCTTTATGAAAACAGGTAACAGTGTAAGAAGAATATAGAAAGTAAAAGTTCTGATTCTAGTTTGGGATAGACATTGGTTGCTTCTTTTCACAGTTTCTGTACTAATGGAGGCATCTGTTTTTTCCTAAACATAACAGGTTTGTGTGAGGAAACTTCCTTGATATTCTACGAAGGAAACATCACACCAGTCTAAGCAGTAGAGCAGATGTGATTGACTCTGCTAGAAACAACCTCAATATGTACCTTGTTTCTTACATGATACGTTTAAAATTACTACTGAATTATAAAAAAGTACAAAATTTATTAAATTTTGACAGAGCGACTACAAAATACTTTCAGCAGTAGCAGTGAAACTTCTTGATATTCTTTTTTTGGTCCCCCTCAATTTATAAACTCAGTGAATTGTGTGGCTTCTGAAATTGCATGTTCTGTACTGTCAGTGGTAAAGTCTGTAGCGTAGCTATTTTAGGTGATTTTTTTCCTATGTCACATCAAAACAATGCTTTTCCTTTGGATCAGCTTATAAACATATTTCTGGAATGCAGTTAAGGAGATTTTTTTGGGTCTTTTTGGATGATCTTACCACACTTTTGAAGATGGTTAGAATGACTTGTAATTTATTATTCATAAAACAGTTACGAATCTTTGCAAATAGACCCCAAATATTTTACATAAAATCTTTGAGTAATATGGCAAACAGTCTGTTGTAAGATCAATACCTGGAAAACAGTTTGTGGCTCAGAAGCAGAGGAAGAAATGGGACAGTGTGCTGGGAAGGAGGTGTAGCCATTTGTAGGGATAGAACACAAGTGATTTGTATTGTGAGTTTATTTTTTAAGTTATAAGTGGGTCTGTGAAATATGTTCTGTCTCTGGGTATCTGGAATAATGAAAATCTGAAATGTTTAGGCTTATTTTTCAGCTACACTGAGTGTAGGCAAGAGACCTAAAAGTCTTTATTTCAGTTTGAACTGAAATATGAATTTGAACTCATAAAAATTTCCATTGCCTGCAGCTTACCTGTCAAGCTTTCTGTAGCTCTTCCCAAAGGATCATTGTCAAAATTCACCACTGAGGATGTGTCCTTATGATAGGGTTTCTAAAGAAATCTCTGCCCAGCATTGTCACGTGCAAGTACTTTTAGAGACAGCAATGTTTAAAGAAAAAGGTATTTGTTCATGCAAAGATACGTCTGTCCAGGAGATGGCTGTCACTTTACTACTTTCACGTGCAGACAAACTTTTGCAGACTTCATAAGTGGAGAGAAAAATTTCCCTTCAACTTTGCCAGTGTGAAGCTGTAAGCTGTAGTAGGTTATCCTGTAAGGGCCAAAAATATGTGGTGTGTGGTGGTGTGGGGTTTTTTGGTTTTGGTTGGTTTTTTTGTTTGTTTTGTTTTTTGTTTTTTGGTTTTTTTTGTAAAATCTATGGGTAGTATTTCCTTATTTTCTTAGAGCGTCTGTAGCTATGAAGTTTATGTAGACTGCTGTTATACAGGAAAACTGTTGATTGTTCTCTACATATTTATTTTTTCTTAGTGGGAATATTATTGCATGTAATACAGCTGTTTTGGGCATATTTGAGAGAGTTTTAATTGTTTATCCTGTTAAGAGTTCTGCTCTCTTTCAGTATTTTCTTTCAATCTCCTTTCTTCCTCTCTTCTCTGCGCTCGTTTTGTGGTAGTAGGCATGAGCCTCTGTGAAGATTCTTGTGAAAACAAGTTCTTAAGCCATCATCCTGGGAAAGATCTTGGTACTTTGCCTTAAATGGTTACAGCACCTGCTGACTTGTTTATTTCTGTAAGGGTAGCAAGGGCAAAAGGATTGAGGCTGAGATCAGTTTAAGCAGATAAAAGTCACAAGATGCTGTCCTGATTTAAACTAAAGCAAAACATTATTCTGTGGAATTTTTAATAAAGAAATGTTTCTATTGGTTCCATGCTAGTTTGTTTATAGTTTGCCTAAGCTTCCTCTGAGAAGCATATAATGAAAAAGGCAAAATGCCAGAAACACCTTGGTGAATGTTAATGCTAATTTTTCTGCAGTTATATCTGGCTAAACCCTCTTGCTCACTGTAACCTGCTTTTTTCTACTGCTTGTCTTGCTATTGATTTTTAAAAAAATGGAAGGTAACGAAACTGATTTTTTTTCTTCCAGTTCATAACTGGACTCAAGAGGACACCCTTCAGTGGCTGTCAGAATTTGTTGAACTGCCCCAATACGAAAAGAATTTTAGAGACAGCAATGTCAATGGAACAACACTTCCCAGGTGAATGTACCTTCTGGATTAGTTTCAAATAATTCCCTGTAGGTTGCTACTTCAGTCTGTATGTGGGAAGAGCTCTGTGAACCTACAGTCTAACAGGATATGGACAAATGGGAGAAAAAAGAAACGTCCTCACAGTTTTGAAGAGCTGGCTACATTTTTTTCCTGCCAAAATATTTCAAAATATGAATGCTTCTTACCACTCTTCTTGTCTTAGTTTTGTTTCTTGCTGTTGAAGCTTTTATTGATGATCAAATTGAATTCTGTATGGTAGCGAACTTTCTTTTGAACAACTTCCAGCCTATTGTGTGTGTATACATCAAAAACTATCTGCAGAACCCCTTTTCTTGAGCATAACTGCTAAAATTGAGTATTGCATATATTTCAGACAGTTGGTGTCACATGTCGCAAATATACCATTACCTTATAACTATGCTAAAAGGATTTATTTCATGATTATTCCAGAAAGAAAGGAATAGGAAAACAATTTGACATTCTTCCTTTGCCACACGCTGATATGCTTTTTTATAGTACTACTGTTATTGTATTATACCTCTCACTCTAGTTGTATAACTGTGTCTGTTTGACAGTGGGAAATGCTATTGATGTATTTCTTTCCATAGACTGGTTTGAATATATCTTGTGCAATACATAATGTTTCATCTTACCATTAACAGGATAGCAGTAAATGAACATGCTTTCATGATCTCTCACTTGAAAATAATTGACCGGAGCCATAGACAGAAGCTTCAGCTTAAAGCCTTGGATGTTGTTTTATTTGGGCCTCTCACACGTTAGTAATTTTTTGAGTTTTTTCTTGTCTCTTATTTGTAAGAATTCAACAGAGAATACTTTCAGTGACACTTGATACTGTAGGTAGGACAGTTTACCTATTTTGTGGATGTACTGAAGGATTGCTTGGCATGTCTTGTGGAACAGGGAAACTAATTAAAAAAACATTACCAAGATGCTGGGATCAGGACAACGGTTCACTTCTGTATGTAAGATTACATAGAAATTTTACTATAACCCCACTTGACAGATGAATGTTGGCTTTTGTGTCACAAGAAGTGTCCTCTAAATGTTTTTGACTGTTTAAATTACAGTTATAGCTTATGTTACATTCACTTCCTAATTAGCTTGGACAGTGTAAGCTGGGATGCTGAAATGAGAGGGGATGACCTTCCCCAAGGAAGAAAAAAGGAGATGGTGCAAATCCAATACTGGTGTCTTTTGTGCAGACTCGAGTTTAAGTCCAGTTAAATTTAATGCAGCAGATCCATGTATGGCCCATTTTAGTACATGCAGATGTTTCCTTACCACATCATCAGTGAGCCGCGTGCTTGCTTGTACAGAGTGACAGATCTATTGTGGTACTGTGCATGTCGGGTATTCCTAAGCTAGGAGGCCCTTCCAGAGCTTGGTGGTCAGTTCAGGGACTAGTGAATGACTGCAAAAGTCAGGCCAGATCTGAGCTGGCCTGACTGATCTGAGTTAGCCTGACAGGTCTGAGCTGGAGATTTTTAGGGGAAAAAAAGGACTTTGTGTTTGCACTATGCCTTTAATGCTAGCAGAAACTGTCTTTTAAAAGTTTGGGTTTAGTTATTTGCACCTTTGGAAAGTTTTACTTACAAAGAAGTGTATGTGAATCTTGGGTATAATACTTTGACCATCTGGGTTTTGCTTTTAAAAAGTGCTGCTATTAGCTCTACTTACCCTTTAAAAATCTACTTTATTTTGTACAAGTGCATTTTTAACTCGGCATAGTGTATTCCAGAGGGCACAGAGTGGGGAAAACTTACTGCAACATAACTAAGTTCCTACTGGCCTGATAAAGTGTTAATTGGAGAAAGTCTCTCTTAACTCATTTAAATAAAGATACAGACTATGTATTGTAAAAGCTTAGTAACCTTTCCTCAATCTAATATATGTTTTAGTATAGAATAAGTAGATTGTGTTAGAGCAGAATTGCTTATGTTGTATGGAAAATGCTCTGTAATCCATTTTTAAGATCGAAATGTGGTTGATGGAGATGGTTTGAGGTAAATGAGCTGGAATTCTGTTTAGTTAGCATGAGGTTCTGTCACATTTTCGGCGGGGGTGGGGAGGAAGTCTATAGTCTCTTGTTTGTATCAATGAACTAGTTAATGATCATGTTATTCTCTGCACAGGTCCCCCTCACAACTGGATGAAGGATTTTATATTAACGGTTTCTATAGTTATTGGTTTTGGAGGCTGCTGGTTTGCCTATACACAGAACAGAACCTCAAGAGAACATATCACAAAAATGATGAAGGACTTAGAAAGTCTCCAAACAGCAGAGCAAAGTCTTCTTGACTTGCAGGAAAGGTACAAAAAGTAAAAAAGTTAATGTTTAGTTGTCCTTTTGTTTTGAGATTAAATACAAATACAGATCCTTTACAGTCATCAATTATTTGCATTAAGCTGGATTGCATGGATTTTTTGATCTTCATTTTGCATGGAAATTGTGATTTCAGTGACCGAAGGGGTTTTGGGCAGAAACTGCCTTTGGGTATTTTAGCAAGCAATATGAACTTGGGGATGAAGGTAGAGAATAGAGGTTCAATCTTTTTTGTCTACAGATTTAGAAGTATGTACTGTTATTTTCATATAATGACAGTTTACTTTGGAATACTTATATGGAAATGAAAACATTTCTTCTAGTTTTAAGCTCTTAAGATTGAAACAGACTTGGACTGATTGCTTTCTATAGCTTATTTAGCAGTGTGAGAGTTAATGGTCTTCTCTGGTGCACCTGTAACTCAATTGTCTATAAAGACTTGTATTTTGATCTTATTATACCTCTAATGAAGGTTCACCTAAAAGTTCTCATATTTTGTCTGATGTGGACATGCCATTTTGTGATGCAATTGCTGCTTGTTCATGAAGCTTGCACAGTCTTTATTACCACAGAATGGTTGAGGTTGGAAGGGACTTCTGGAGGTCATCTTGTCCAACCCCACCTGCTCAAGCAGGATCATCTAGAACAGGTTGCTCAGGACCATGTCCAGGCAGCTTCTGAATATGTCCAAGGATGGAGACTCTACCACCTCCCTGGGCAATCTGTGCCAGTGCTCAGTCACCCTCATGGTGAAAGTGTTTCCTGATGTTCAGACGGAACTTCTTGTGTCCTTGTGTTTTGGTTTGCGCCCATTGCCTCTTGCTGGACATGTTTTCTTCTACTGAGGACTGCAACTTTTAACAAATATGCCATGTATTTTCCCATATTTTTGTTCAATTGTGAAGGCTTGAGAAGGCACAAGAAGAGAATAGAAATGTTGCTGTGGAAAAGCAAAATCTGGAGCGCAAAATGATGGATGAGATCAATGATGCAAAACGAGAAGCTCATCGCCTAAGGGAGTTGAGGGAGGGAGCTGAATGTGAGCTCAGCAGGCTCAAATATGCAGAGGAAGAGCTAGTACAGGTATCTGCAAACCGTTTATAATTTTAGTGTTGACTTTAAAGTGGTCCTGGTTTTACTAGATTCTTAGGAGTGTTTAAAGCAGCATTTCTCTAATGCTAGATTTGAATTGAAAAATTCTGAGAACACTTAATGATTGTCTGTCAATCATGACATTATCTAGTAAAGTAATCCTGAAACTATGAAAAGACATACGCTTTGTATATTAGCTTATTATAATGTTGTTGGATTCATGGAACAAAATATATACAAAAGCTTTTTTCTATCTTGTTATCAGATGACATATAATAGCTTTGTCTCACTCTTCTGAGTAGCAATAGATTGGATTAATTGTACTAAATAAAAATGCTGTCTTACAAAAATAATCAAGCTTCAAGTTAGGGAATATATATTGATAAGAAAAAAAAGAATCTGAGTATAATATAGTATATGGAAATCCTGTATCCTGGTATATTTCAGAAATGCCTGATCTGCCTTCCCGACAGCAATTGGTGCACACCAAAGCTCTGTAAAGCCTTAGTATGTTGCTGTGGGGTATAAAGGTGCTTATATTTCACTTTCTTCTGCAGTCAGTTCTAATGATAATCTTGATGACACCTTTTTTTTTTGATTGCTAGGTTCGCATGGCTTTAAAAAAGGCTGAGAAAGAGTTTGAGCTGAGAAGTAATTGGTCTGTTCCCGAAGCTTTGCAGAAGTGGCTTCAGTTAACACATGAAGTTGAAGTACAATATTACAATATCAAAAGACAGCATGCAGAAATGCAATTAGCGATCGCCAAAGATGAGGTACTAATTCTTCAGCTACTTAAAGACTTTTTGATCTGTTGTTGAATATATGAAATAGTAAATACAAATCATTCAGCTATGTGTTTGGATGTTATTTTCTTCTGAGTTGTTTTTTGCTACCTGTCAATATTGCTAATGTTTTGCTATCTGTGTTAAGTATATAACTTCTAATTTTATGTGTTTCATTTTATCTTGCTTTTTAGGCAGAAAAGATAAAAAAGAAGAGAAGCACTGTATTTGGAACATTACATGTTGCACACAGCTCCTCCCTGGATGAAGTGGACCATAAAATCCTTGAAGCAAAGTAAGTATTATCAGGTTGCATATTCTTTTCTGATTATTTATTCCTGGAACAATGGAATTTTTTGAGAGTTAGGGAATTTAATCTCTTAGTGGTTTTGCACTTTTAAGTAAAACAGTTTAAAAGATATTAAAGTGTGAATATTTAGGCAGCCCTAATGGATCTTCTGGTATGCTAGAAGGACTGTGCTTGTGTTGCTTTGCTTTGTCATTAAGAACAGTGTATGTAATTCTAATGTGTGCTTTTCTTCAGGAAAGCACTCTCTGAGTTGACGACATGTTTGCGAGAGCGTCTTTATCGATGGCAACAGATTGAGAAGATTTGTGGTTTTCAAATAGCACACAATTCTGGGCTACCAAGCTTGACCTCCTCTCTCTACTCTGATCACAGCTGGGTAGTTATGCCTCGAGTTTCCATTCCTCCTTACCCGATTGCAGGGGGAGTTGATGACTTAGATGAAGATACTCCTCCAATAGTTTCACAGTTTCATGGTAAGTGGTGAGCTCAGTAAAAAGAAAGGGGAAAAACTGTGGAGGCATGGGATTTTAGAGTCAGGTGGGAGGAGAGTGCTGAAATCAAACAGGGTTGGATCAAAGTCAAAAGGACCAAAATTGTATCTAGCATTTCAGATGCATCTTTTGGGTCTTGCAATAATGATAATGTGAGGAAAAAGCCTTTATTCCCTTTCAGGGTGTGTGTGTGTGGGGGGGGCAGCAGCACAAATCCTACTAAGGTTTTGAAAGCTCACTTGTTATGCTTGGATTGCCACTTAGACAAAAAATTGAGTAATGCTGAATTTCTGCTAGCACACTTATTCTTTCAGATGGAAGGGATGGAGGTAGTCTAGGGTCCCTTGAGCTACTAGGAAGATCACACCCGCATGCTACATAGCCGTTCAAACATTCTTTAGTGGTTGGAACAAAATCCTGTTGTTGTCCAAGGGAAGCTTTCAGGCAGAATGTTTGTGTTTGGATACAGAGGATTGTTTGAGTGCAAGGCAGAGAGGCCAAGTGCTGGAGGGAGGGAAATCCAGCTTTGGTTAAACTATGATGAGAAGACGTACACTGGGGATTCAGACCACCCTTGTATCCTGAGTCATTGCGTCAATACAAGAGCTTGTTTCATGGAAGTTGTAATTAACTGGACTCTAGAGGCAAATCAAAAAGACGAGCTCCCACGTAGCTATTCAAACAAGCAATATCAAGCTGAGGAATGGGTAGGGAAGAAAACTTTGTCATATGTGTACATTTTTCTTCCATGGCTGGGATTCTCAGAAGAAATTAGAACCGTGTTTTAAAATAGGATAAGGAGAATAGTTGCCACTTTGCTGGCTTCGTTTAGCGTGCCCTGGGCACGTGTTTTTCTTCTGAATGTACCAACCTTTTTTCTACAAGCCATGTTGAAAAGTTCGTTAATCCCCTTGCTATGCTACTTACTTATTTTTAAAGAATACTGTTTCTGTAGTCATTTTCACTGTGAAGGTTTTGATTTAAACTTTAGCAACAGATTTCTTGGATGGCCCATTAAAGTACGGATGCCTAGAGTTAAACTTCCAAGTCTAGATGGAGAAGTCTGTGGTCTGACTTCAAAATGAAGAGCTCCATTTATTATCATGACTTTCTAGATAGTCTGAAATGACAAAACACTTAGATACATATATAAGACTTCAGATTGTGATTTTTTTTTTTTAGTAATTCTTCCCATTTTTAGGTCTTGCATAGAAGTGAAGCCAAAGAGCAAACTACAGTGAGTTCAGCAGAAGTATGATTAGTGAAGGACTGTACAGTTTGTAAGAGCATGCTTAGTTGAAACTTTACTGTATGCTTTTAGAATGATGGTTTAATTTTTTTTGTTAAAGTTCAGTTCATTTGGAAGTATTTAGCTAATGGGTGTTGTCTCAGTGATGAAAATTATCTGAATCTTAGTAGTGTTACAAAAACTTTAAATGTGTTTTTCTGAATTTTGATAAGGCGCCGAGAGCCTGATTTAGTTCAAGTGATCACAAGTAGCTTCTCCTTAATTTACTGGCTTTTAAAACTTCTACTCAGTAAAAAAAAAACCTGAAGACACTTGGGAGTGAGGAAAGGGAGGGAAAATATGCTAAGTGATCTGTTGTTGAAACCAGTTCAGGAGTCAAATTATTGTAGGTTAGTTTGGTAACTGCTAAATTATTCCTGTCCCTTAGACAAAAATGACAAATGTACACGAGGAAAGACGGAAGCAAAATGGCTCATCTCACTCTTGAGGCTTCAGGCAAAATGCAGTGTGCAGACAGGTCAGTTATGAGCAAGACTGTTGCAGAGTCTGGAGCTGAACTGAGCTGTCTGGGCTGTTACCTTGCCCCAGCACCCTTTGATCTCATAACATCGACAAAATTTGAAGTCTGCCAGACAGGCTTCTTTGTGCCGCAGCAATTGGGATGACAGGCTAAAATGGTGTGAAGGTATAAGTTCTGTTTAATCAATCCCAAGCTGAAGAACAAAAGGAGATGAAGAAATAGATGTATGAGACTGGGATAAAGTCATTACAGGAAGGTGATAGTGAAGCTTCTACTTTTCCATTGACTGATTAGGATTCAACTGATTCCTTGATTTTCTGAGTTTAATTTGTACTAGAAAATTCTAGCTGTTAAATCATCATAGCTGAATCCTTCATAATCCCATGTATATACACCTGCGAGGAACCAAAATGCTTGTAACTCCTCTCAAAATTCACTGGCGGTGCAACCTTGTTCTTTTTTACATCAGTGAGTAGGATGGCATCTGATTTACCTGGACACATAGTACAAATTTCCTAAAGGGATTCTTACTCTCATCTCAGTTCACATTTGGTTTTTTTAGGAATATTTTTGTAATGACACAAGCTTATTTTTGAGCTGCTGACACCTGCCTTTCAGGTCAGTAGGGATTTCATCAAAAGTAAAATCAAAAGTTTGAATTACATGATGACTGTCATGTTGGAACTTGTAAACCTTTCTTTTCTGCTCAGCCTGGCAGGAAACAAAGTCTAAGTGTTGGCGAACGTGCAGCTACTTTCTGTTTTGTGGAAGTTGTGATTTCCTGGACTAAAAGCAGAATGAAAACTCAACCTTTCCTGAGATTCCAGGAGGGAAACTGTAATTTACCTGATGCTAAACTGGCATCTCAAAAAAATAAAACTACTCTGTCAGGCTAGACATCCTTGTCTACAAAAATAATTGATTTTTTTTTTTTAGTGTTTTGTGTTTGGTAAACATTTGGAACATTAGTGAGGGTATGGTCTGCCTAACCTAAGCAGTGATGCATTCTGTCGGGTAGTTTGAGGCGGGGTGTGAGAAATCCTGAGGCTCACGTACAGCTGGCCTGAAAACAGGTCTGTAGATTTATTTCCATAGAAGTGTTGCTGCCTAATCATCTTTTGAAGGAGGAATTGGATTAGGACCATTTTAGTTTGTCACTTCCTGCTAGATACTTTCCTGGTCAAGTCTTGTGTTGCTGTCTCCACCCATTCTTAGTATTTTTGTTTCCGGAAATTCATAGTTATCCTGGCAAAAGAAAGAGTTATCAAATAGGAAATTCCTGAGCTTAAAATGAGGCTCAATGATATATTTTTTTTTTTATCATGTTATATAAATTAAATTGGTCATCCATGCCTAACATAACTTTCAACTAGTGCAGTGTGTTTCAGTTGGCTGTTTGGTTAGGTATAGCTACATTGCAAAACTTTTACTTACTCTTTTAAGCTCCAAATTGCCACACAAGTGAAATACAGGATATTGTGTAACATACTAATTACAACACTGCTATTTTTAGTTTACAAAGGGCTGGGAGTTTCAGTAGAATCTTTCTCTTTGTTCTCAAAAGAGCATAGTGAGCCAGAGCTTTGGTGCACATGGTCAGAGTAGTATTTGGTAGGCAGGCACAAAACTGCTGCAGTTGCATCTTGGTTAGCTGCTTCATCTAACTGTAGAATGTATAAGGTGGAGATGCCAGTCTTTCTTCCCTCTAAACACTTGAGCAATGTCAAAGTTGTTTAAGAATCACTGTGGCTGAAGCAGATACTGTTCAGAGTAGATACTGTTAACATCAATGTCACTTGGAGGGTTTTGGTCTGCTTTTTCTTTGCCTCAGGGTCCATTGTAAAACCTCCCAGCACACTGGCAAGAAGCAGTAGCTTGTGTCGATCGAGACGCAGTGTTGTGCCATCATCTCCACAGTCTCAGCATGCTTTGCACTCCCCTGACCCTGACATCCTTTCTGTGTCAAGCTGCCCAGCTCTTTATCGAACTGAAGATGAGGAGGAAGCCATTTACTTCTCTGCCGATAAACAATGGTACGGAGATTAGCAAACAGCACTTGGAACTTTGATAGGATTATTTGAGACTAACAGTTTAGAATTAGAGGTTGAACCAAGCCAAAAGTTAAAGTAATGTGTAGGATAATATAAATTAATATAGTCCACATGAAACAGAGACAGTTCTTGTCTGGTATGTGTATGTAAATAGTTAGCATGTCATATACAGTTAAGTAATGTTACAATCCAGGGTGCACTGAACTAACCCTGATTCTCCATTACAATATGTTACTGGCTTTTACATCTGAAACTAGGATCAAAAGCAATGTCAGCTACTGGGCGAAGAGAAGATGGATGGTAACACAATTCTTACAGCATGTTGAGCGTGTACCTACTCTTGTTACATGGCCTCATAGGAAAAGGTTAAATTCCTTTTGGAAGGAGCAAATGAGCTTGTTGAAAGGTAGGGACACTTGTCCTGAAGAAACTTTTTGTATATGATAGGCTTAAATCTCCTTCTTTCATTTCGTAACTTTTCTGACTTCATGTGCCAGAAAGATTCTTTGAAGTGAGATACAAATGACTGATTCTGGGCAGATGCTGCTGCCCACAAAAAACCAAGATTACACAAATTAATTATCTTAAGTTTAGATAATAAAATGATGTAATGAAAGTTGTAAATAAAAATGTTGAACTTAATGTTTTTTTGTTAATTAACTACTAAGGAGAATTGTGGGTGGTGCTTTTAGACTAATGTTATTGATTCTAAATTAATTTCCTTTTTAACTGCATGAAGGAAACAGTAGTTTTATTATGTTTTCTCTTTTCTGTGCTCTGACTCAGGGAGGTACAGGAAACAGGTTCGGAATGTGACTCCTTAAATTCATCCACTGGAAGGAAGCAGTCTCCTCCGGCAAGTCTTGAGATGTACCAGACACTTTCTCCTCAGAAAGTATCCCCGGAAGAGTTCTCACTGGAGGAATCGTCTACAGGGGACTCCTCTTCCCTAACTGCAGATATTTCTAGGGGCTCTCCTGACTGTGTAGGCATGGCAGAAACTAAGAGCATGATCTTTAGTCCTGCAAGCAAAGTTTATAACGGAATCCTGGAGAAGTCCTGCAGCATGAACCAGCTTTCAACTGGGATCCCAGTCCCAAAGCCTCGGCACACCTCATGTTCTTCAGCCAGCAGTGATAGTAAACCCAGCCATGAAGCTGCTTCTGTCCCTAGGATAAGTAGCATCCCACAGGACCTGTACCAAAATGGCGAAAAAAACAAAAAGCCATCAAAAATAAAAAGCCTCTTTAAGAAAAAGTGTAAGTGAGGTGGGCAGAAGAAACCTGTAGTAATGTTATAAGAACTCTATTTTTTACATCTTTAGGAATGTAATTCCATTTGAGCATTCCAGACTGGATGCCCTAATGGGATGCTCTGTAGGTCAACTATATTTAACTGACTGTACTGTCAAAGGTCATGCCAGCTGTCAATGAGAAATCATTAAAAAGTTCAGACAGTTTACATCCATTTCTGCCTATTTATTTCTTTTTTTTTTTAGTTTGTCTTTTTTTAGTGTTTTGGTTTTTTTAATTTTATTTTGTTGGGTTGGTTTTTTTTTTTAGTTTATTCATAAACCATTTTTAAGCCACTTTGGACTTCTAAGCTTTAATGGACTAGTAAGCCTCCCTGGGCTTGCCAAAGTTTCTTGTTTACTGGAGCATCTTCTTATCTTTCCGTAGAGCTAGGACATTTACCTACTGGACTTTAAAAAAACTGAAAGAAGTAGAACTAATTGAATTGCACTACTGTTTTACAGACTGGAAAAGTCTCTCTGCAAGTGAAACTGAAAGACTTGTATTTGACTGAGAAGAAGAATCTTTTCACTTTTAGATCTTTCGGGGTTTTTAAGTAGAACTTAGGATTTCTAATTGACTTGATTCCTGGAAATGGAAATGCCATGCTTTTATTATGGGAAGCTTTGTTAGATGCATTTATTATTAGAATGGTTCAAGTCCTGCTGTAAAGATCATGTTTTTCCCAGGACATTCACTGTGATTTTACTTCACTGCAGGCTGTATGACAAAAACAAACAAAAAAAAAAAAAAAAGGAAAAGGAAAAAGTAATTTAACAAGAGAAGAGGCTCTTGATTCCTTATGCAAGTGATGGATATGAAACTTGATTGAGAACTGAAAATATTCGCCCTCTTAAAGTGAGGAGGGGGATAGTAGCTTTTGTTTACAGATTGATGGACAATGGACACTTGGCTTGTGAAAGTTTGTACTGTGGTAAAGATAATAAATTGGAAACATTATTGTGCTTGGGAATGTTCCAATTTTAGCTGATGCTTGTTTCAGAGGTCCTGTTAATTGAAAGCTGTTGTAGGCTACATTGCTTATGCTTACTGCTGTGTATAAGTTATATTTTTTGGATTAGCTATTAATGTCTTAATGTCCTCCTTTTGTAAGATTTCATACACTTTATTTTTGTATAGTTTGAAGATTTAGCTGTTCAGACATGTCTGAAGTAAATGGTATAATTTTATAATGCATACTGTTATACTAACTCATAATTTTAGATATAAAGATAGATATAAAGGTGAGAGTCGACATGCTTCAGATAAAAGCAATTTTTATGTTAAGCTTTTATAGGGAGAGATGAAATTGCTACGAGGTAATAAGGAAGCCTTCTTAGGGCAAGAGTAGCTAGTTGTTCAAAACCATCTTTTTAGTTTTTTTAACAGTTGGAGACAAGAAATGTACTGCTTGAGCAACAGTGCCTTTTATTCAGTTTGTCTGAAAATATTAATACTGAGCAGGAATTTGTTTTGAGGTACATTCCAAAGAAATACTTCTTGCTCTAGTGAACACAAGCAATTAATTTACCCAGTGATGACTAAATAGTTTCAGCTCTTCCATAGGGGCATTCTAGTTGCCTCAGTAACAGGTGCCGCTGCCAGGGACCGGTGATTAGGGGCTCACTTCTTGCCAATATGTACATGCTGTACTGTATGAAAGAATTAAATCACTGACTGCCTAAATTTTTTTCCAGTATGGAGCCTTCAAAACCTGTAGCTAATTGAAATCAAGTAATACATGTCTTTTCTATCACTTTCTAATTAGGTTCCACTGCACATAACTGATGTGCTAGTTCTGTCCTCAGGAAGCGATGGTCATGTTAACAGAGGCATTTACTGTGGCTAGTGAAACTGTTAGAAGAGGAGGGTTAAGAAGTGGGATGGAGACCTTAAAAGTCCTGGTACATTGATTAATTCCTTAAGAGAACAGAAGGAATCCAGAGTTTTACTGTCTAACAAAGAATGATTGTATATCACCCATACAGAAAACCATAGGAATCAACTGTTTGGTAAAGTTTGGAGACGAGAAAAATTGGTGGAACAGAAAATAATGAGAGCAAGCTACTGTTCCATTATTCTCTGAATCATCAGATTGAACAGCTATAGCTTCAAAAAAGTCATCACAAGGTAACAATGGTCTCGTTGAACAAAGGTTGTACACTCTGTTCATGGTAGACAAAAAAAGCAGTGATGCAAAAAGACTTGTGCCTGAGAAACCAGCTCAGTGTTGAGCCTTCAGAGTTGTAGTTAAAAGCCTGATGAAGTACTTGAACATGTACAAAGGGAAAAACCAGAGAAAAGTAGGGAACTTATTTTGCCTCCTAAACAGCATGGAGAAGACTACTACCAGAAAAATGTTCAATTTTTGATGTCTGTGCTTGAGAAGGCTATAGCAATAATTGAGTTTAAAGGAAGGTCTGGATAGTAGATCTTGCAGTGTGATGTTTGAGAAACTCTGTATCTGTCATTACCAAAGAAGATGAAGTGGCATATTGATACTGGAGAGTAAATATTTACACATGGAAAAAAACATCTGGTACTGAGGAGTGGGAGGACAGCACTTCTTAATTCTGACATCAAAGTCAGGCAAACTCAAATACCGAGAAGCCAAAAGGGACAAATTCGGTTTTCTGTAGTAAGTATACCTAAAAATTAAAATAGAGGAGGTGTTGAATGCTTCATTGGCTGTGAGTTTAAGTGTTAAGTATCTTTTTAAAATACACAATTTAACTGTCTTCTGGAAAAAAATGTTATGGTGTTGTACAAACAAATGGGATGAGATTATCATAGTGATAGATTTTGGCTTCAAAATGGCAAACCTTTGGAGCACAGACTGCTCTCAACACTCAGTTTATCACCAGCTGTCCTGTAACTTTATAGCTGCTACTTAATAAATGTTATAGAACTAAAAGCTTAAGTTAATATGATCAGAAGTAGTGAGTATTGAATGTTGGAGCACAAACTGTAATTTTAAGTTCATAGAGTTGGGGTTTTTTTAATTCTTTTAATAGACGCCTTGCATATCTTGCCACCTAAATTTGCCCACAGTCTAAGTGACTTGCATTGCTCCTACTATGGTTACTGTAGAAATGCTTACCTTCAAACTATTAGCATCCTTTTGCTAAGATACATTGAGAGCATGGACTCTAAGGTGGATCCTCACTGGCAAACATCAAATCCAGTCATAATGTTGAAGTACCTGGCATACTTCTGACATCTCAGAAGTGAGACAATGTGCTTTAAAAGGTCCTCTGTTTTTCCTCCATTTGCTTAACGGTGTAACTTGAACTGGCTGGCAGTCAGTGAGTCCAGCCAGCATTCCAGTCATTAGGATTTTTGTAAGACATGTCAGTCATTCAAGACAATCATCCAGTGTCATCATCCTTAAATGGCTGAGGACTTTCTAAGCTCTAAACTCAGAATGGTTGTGATTAGAGGTGGTGTTTAATTCTCCAGTATTTTTTGGAAGATGATGATCTCTGCTTTCTTAAGTATTTTGTTAGTCCTTTGTCAGGACAGCAGCCCCTTTATGAAAACTGCATAAAAGACTTCTCCTGGAAGATGTTACCATTTAAGTCTTTCACCTGTAAAAGGAAGAAGTGTCAAGTGTGTGGTTCTACATAAAGAAGTAGAAAAAACCATCAATTCTTCCAAAACCGAACTTCCTTACTTCACTGGTACCTAGGTAGTAGATTACCCTCCACTTTCTGATGGACAGTTTGCTGAAAGAGGGAAGATTCTCCATCATAGTCAAGGTAATAATGCTATAGTAAGAATACAGTTCCTCATTTGGAAGCCTCGAAGATGGCGAAGCCAAGGCCACTTGACTTCAATTTTCTTATGATATTTGTGGATGCCAGCTTGAGTTAGGCATTGACTTATCAATGATGGAAAGCCTAAAAAGATAAAATTAATTAGAAATTGGAGCTTTGAAGATTTTGCCCTTTTGCTTCCCAGTGCATGGGAAAACAGCATACACAGAGAGATGAGCTCTAATTAGCATTTCTCATGCCACCAGCTTTTAGAGCTTCAGGATAGTTTCATTCCATTTCCAAGATGCATTGCTGGAGAGGGACTACTACCTTAATTTTATGATGTATGCAAAGAAGCATTTTATTTTTAATCTACTTACAAGCAGGGGAGAATAATATAAACAAACTGAATGCTTAACTTAAAAAGAAAAATTTTTTTTAAAGCCAAATAGAGGAATTACTGGTTCTTGGACCTCTTTACTATTTGCTTATCTCCTTGTACAATATGTTAAGTAGGGTGAACATGGTTTTCTAATCTATTCCAGTTGCACTGACTAAAGTGATGCATTACTATCTCATGTTTGAAACACTGCTCTGAACTGCTGTAGGCATTTTAATCCTGGATGTTGCATCTTTGTTGAATAATGGCTAAGCCTACTAAGGCTGTTTGATTCTAAGTGCTGGTAAACTTTTCTACTAGTGACTTAAAGACAGGTGTTGGTGTCACCAATAACCAAAAAAGGCTTTTGCCAGTAGTTTGACTGCCTGACAGCCTGTAAATGTTTAGGTAACTCTTCTTCGAGGCTTCGGTAGCAATTCAACAGCGTCGTACACATTTTCAGTAGATAGCTTTCCCTTCCAGCCCTGTAGAGATGGTGCTGATCTGAAACTCTGCTTAGTCCTCTCTTGCATAAATAGAATGCACTGATTCATATAAATTGTGACAATATTAACCTTTTAAAGTGTTATTCCCAGTTGCACTTGCATCTGACAGTACTTAAGCAAGATGGCAGTACTTATCAGTCCGCTTCAGTCTTTCAGAAATAAAATGGATTTGTATTACCTTTTTTTTTTTTTCTCTACAACTTTGAATCTCAAGTTTACCAAATTGTGTGTGTGTTCTGGGTATTTAATGCTTCACTGAAATGAAAATGGGAAGGTTGGTCTCTGCTTAGATGCTAAGGAAAGCACACTTGAACAGGGTAAAAAAGAAATTCCTCTTGCTCGTTGCAGGGGATAAAAAAGACTTCAGAGGTATTTCATCTGCTCCTAAGTCAGAAGTCTAAGGAATGCTCACAACTTACATTGCTGGAGATGAGAGGTACATTCAATCTGAAAGCTTTCAGATCAGTAACTCTTTATCCAAGAAAAAACTCTTCCTTCTTTAGACGTACTATGCAGGGCATTACCTTCATATTTCTATTCCATTTTTGACCCAGCATTAAGTTTGGTAGTTACAGCACTAACTTACGTGATTGCCAGACCTCAGAGCAGTTTCAGATAATGATTTCAGTAGCATGTCTTAAAGTCAATTTTGGTTTAATATGTGCAAAAGATATCTGAATTATGACTTTCTCCTTTACATTCCATTTATTTTAGTTCAACTCAGTTCTTTGTGATCCCTCAACTGTTAATAAACAGGTACTGACGGTTGATTCTTGTTCATGTTTAGAGTACAGTTTTTTCAGCTGAGAATTGCTAATAGATAAGTGGTAGGTAGTTGCTTTTTAAAGACTAGATCATGGTTGGATATTGTAAAAATACTGCTGTGCTTCAGTTGAACTAGGTACAGCATTGACTGGTGCAATTTGTGTATGAGTGGTAAAGTTATCCTTTTTAAATTCCCCTTTGTTTTTTATTTGTATCTTAACTTGATGCTGCACAATTACTTTCAGACTTGAATTCATTTAAAATTAAGGTCAGTATGTCCAGCCCTACAAAAGTCAGTCTTCAATTATTGGTCAGCTATCAGTCCATTCTAACTGAAATGAATTAAAACCTTGAATATTTGTACTAGCTTATTAGCTTGTTAGGTCGTAGAATGGGTTCCTGGAAGTCTTCAGGTGGAAGGCAGAGGACTTCTGAAGTGAACCAGCTAACCTGTGTTCTTTATCAGCTTTCAAATCCATCTCCCAATAAGACTGAGTCTCCCCAGGGGAATGTAGATGTACTTACTGCTTGGAACTTTGTAGTTAATGATATTTGGCTAATTCTAATAACTTGCATGTGTGCTATGCTTGCTTGCTTTTCAATAGCTGACAAAAGCTGTAGGAGATCTTGGGGGTTTGTTTATAAAAATTGCTGTTTAAAGAAAAAAGACTGGCAAGAGAAATCTGCCAGGCTGTAAACTGACTAGAACCAATAAAGATCCCATCTTTTTGTCTAAAAGAATTGTTTAAATAGTACTTAATGAAATGAATTGGGTAGCATGTGTATTTTCACATTGCTGTCCTCCAAGCAACAAAAATAATTAAAATACCTACCTTTCAGCAAGGCTATTTGGGAGATGTCTTGCCCTGTTTTTATTTTTAATTTAAATAACATTGAGTTGTAGTGCATATTAATGTCTGACTTAAAAGATTAGCAGAATTTGAATGACTTGCATTGTTTTGTTTAATTACAGCTTTATAAAAATGTAGATATTTGCATAAAGCCCGCCACTGGATCTAGGTGTGGTTCAATGACATAGCAAGAAGAGGACCAAGACAAGTAAATATGTGCACAGTTTAAATCTTACTTAAGATGCTTTACTGTTATGGGAAGAGATGTTCTCCATGCAAACTCTGCTCTTCCTCTATTTGCTCTTAGCTTCTGTTTGTTTTCATTAGTTGAACTAAAATAAGAAACAAAGCCCTCAGACTGACTAGTTTCTGTCTCTCTAATATATACACACTGTACTTGCTTTTAACCTCATCTACTGCATGTTGTTAATGCTGTACACAAATGCAGTTGCAGTATTTCTTTGGTGTTGTACAGCATGATGCATTTCATTCCCCTTTCTAGTTTACTTCCCATTAGCTATATATTGCTTTACAACTGGAAAAAACTGAGTTTTTTGGGAATTGAGTCTGTTTGCATATAAAAATCATTTTTTTTTCTGTGAGTCTTATGAGAAATGTCCTGCTTGGAGAGTCTCAGACAGTATTTTCCTGTGTTTATTCATGTTACTTTGCTTTATTTTATAAGTGGATATTGATTTCTGATGTGTTGTTACACTTAATGTTGAATAAATCTGACTTCCATTTTGAAAAGTGAAACTGTGTTAGTGAAAATGTTATGTAATGTTAATTCATCTTAGCCTGTTCCCAGAGTATACAAACTTTGATTTTTTAAATTTAATTTTTTTTTAAAACTTGAGATAAATTTTCTTTTCTGCTTATGATTCTGGCCAGTATTTCTTTGCTTCATGCCATTGTTAAAGCTTGACAGCAATATCACTGGGAAGGGAAAGGTGGAGACACTTCTATTTGGCAGCTAGGGTGCTCCAGTTAGGCTTGAAAATCCCGAGTCTTACTGCTTTTGCTCTGAAGAGCCTTTCTGAGTTTAAGTTGCTTCATATTTTGAAGATTTGGCCTTTTTTCTTCTCAACAAGGTGAAAAGCCTTTCCACATGACTGCTGGAATAATGCATAGCCTTGTGATTTTGAGGATGAGGGTTAGTTTAGGAACCTGTGGCTCTACCAAAAAAAAAGAAGTGGCTTCTCTTGTAACCGAAAGTCCTACCTATGTGGAGGTGAAAAGATTGCAGTAAGATAAATGACTGAGTGGCAATACAGGTGTGGACTGTGGGATCAGTGTGAATCATTTTAGAAAACTTATAGTGCAAAATAAATTAGTTATTTTTCCTCAGTGAAAATAGGATCCATTGGTAATTGAATCTGTATATAAATTATTTTCATTGTAGTTGTCTAATACAGCCCTCTTCAGAAGCAATAACTGGGTCTGTGTGAATTGGTCACTGGTTTCACTTTAGTTTGTCCTTAGTGTTCTTGATTAAAGTGTTGTGACTGTTTATCAATGGGAAAAGCACATAGGCTAGCAAAGCCTAAACCAGCTCTGCATCTTCAGGGAGCTAAATACCTTTCTGTTGGGGACCTACTATTAATTTTGACTGCAAATTTTGAGTTATTCTAGCATAGCTTATAAGAAATGTCTTATTTTACTGCAAGATTTGGCAGCCAATCAAGTGGAACACAGAGCATTCTAATCCCATGGGATATTACTGAGCTTTGGCTAATTAACAACTTCAGCAAGCTGGTATTCAGTCACTGAAGTCAGATTCTCCCCCACCAGATGAACTCCTTTTGATTACTGTTGAATTAACGTCTGTCTCCTTACCCTGCCAAATTTAGGCTTTTAAACGGACAGTTTTACCAGTCCAACTGGATGACTGCATTGCTTGTGAAATTCTATAGCATCCTGCTTGCCCTCAGTGAGACAGAGATGTGGAATAGGGTTGAAATGGGACAGGTAATCTCTTGTAAGGTCCTTTGGGCATCGAGCTGTTCCTAGGGATAGAGTGCTCCCAGTTAAGCCAGTTCTGGGCCAGTTTCATAAAGGTCTCCCATACTCCCTGTTCCTTTAGAGTGCCTTGTAAGGGTGCACTAAGTATCCACTAACGTAGCCGTACAGTGGAAGATATTTATTCAAGGAATTTATCTGTATTCGAAGTAAAGTATAACAGAACTT